GACTCTGGTCTGTGAAAGGCGGTATATAAATAAAGATTATTTACTTACTTACTTACTACTTACTGCAGGTTCAGTCTTCCCAGGCTGGTGCAGGTCTACAATTTTGTTTCTGGTGTTCTTTGACAGATCTTTGGTCTTGGCTAAGATAAGATAAGATGTGTTTTATTTATCTCACAGAGGAGAAATTTACATGTCACGTGCTATAGTGGAGTGTGACTGTTTGAGGTTGTGGACAGGTGTCTTTCACACTGATAACGAGTTCAAACGGGTGCCATTAATACAGGTAACAGGTGGAAGACAGAGGAGCATTACAGGTCTGTAAGAGCCTGTATCTTGCTTGTTTGTAGGTGACCAAATATTTATTATTTGCTATAACTTGCAAATAAATTTGATTTTCTGGATTTTTTTTTTTTTCATTCTGTCACTGTTAGTTGAGGTACACCTTTGAAATTACAGGCCAATCACATCTTTTGGATTTTTTGCCGTGGATTTGGTCCGTGGTTTAGTTTGACTTGGATGTGAGCTTGGTTCCAACGCATAGTTCATATACATTCTTTGTAAACGCTTTTTTTTTGCGCACGAGCGAGGCCATTTATTAACAGTCAGGTCTAAGTCATTAAAAATTGAGCGAGGTCAGGATTGAATGTGCTCGCTCCATTCTTCATTTTGTCCGCAGTTTCGTCCCCCAGCTCGTTAATCAGGCCCGTGGAATGCAGCCATAGCGTGGGTGCTTTTTGGGTGCAGTGACATTTGTGGACTGTACATGCCAGCGTTCACCTCGATGAGAACGTTTCCCAAATGGTCATTAACTTAATGAGGTCTTTGATTTGAGTGAGGTCTTCAGAACATGCTTGTAGTCCAATCATAGGCGGTCACCTTAGTGTTAGCCTTAAAGGTGCCATATTACCCTTTTTTACTTTTCTCTGGTTTAAACATAATTACAGTGCTTTGTGGCCTTCATACAAATGCCCAGTGTTTTTTTCATCGATTCCCTCAAGCTTTAGTTTGAGAGCGATCTTTCTCTTTCGTTCTTGAGAAGCAAAGAAACGGCTTGTTTCAATCAGTGACGTTCAGAGCCCGCCTCCGAAAGGTCATTGACAGCGGGGAGAAAACTGAACCAGCGAATCAGCGCAGTCTTTTGTCAGCACATGCAGCCTCTCTCTGAGTACAGCGTCTGGTCCATAGACAGTAAATACGTGTCTGTGCTTTTTTGTGTTAGCTTCATGTCAACTTGGAGATAATGTGTTGTTGATGGGATTCGGATGAGATTCAACTGATTGTAATCGCAAACACAGGGACCAGACCCAGACGTTACAGGCAGGGAAATGATAATTGAGCGGAGTGTATGGATGGCTAAGGCCAGGCTAGAGTGGCAGTAAAGTGTGGATTTAAAGAAAACCGAAGGATTTAAGAAGAAAAAAAAGTACAGGGACACTAAAAATCCCCACAAATTCTGATCTTCATGAAAGCTGTAGATGCTCTGTCAGCTCAGTTCGAGCTGTTTTAATTTACATCGAGTTCTATAGGTAAAATCTCTGGGTAGCCCACGTGAATTTTGTCTTGTTTAGTCTGCAGTACCGCAAGAATCCTGCGAGCACATGCGTCCTTCAGCTCTAAGCTACTAATACCCTATCCAGTTGTTGCAATAGATCCATGCTTCTGTTGGGCTTTTTCAAATAGGCCGCGGGCAGCCCCTCCTACAGGAAAATTAGAAAAAATACGCATTTGTGCAAGCATTAGCCGGTGTTCTGTCAAGGCGACCTCCCCCATAGAAATGTATTGTCTAGTGCGCATGCGTAGAAGTACAGTAGCTTTATCGCGCCATCGGATTTTGCATCTCCATCTTCACGTGAGGGGTTGTCTTTACAATAAACAAGAATTTGTGTATTTTGCTATGTTTTGCTGTACACTATTGCATTACACATTGCAGTGACAAAGTAGTAGTTCAAATTAAAAATTCTGAAAATAAATGTACGGAAATATGTAAAAAGATTTACAGTGAAGGGTAAGCATTTAAGTTTACTTTTTTAATGGTAGTTATTTTTAGCTTAATTTTGTTGGTGATTACTGTTGTACAGATGGGGAACTTTTTTTTGGGACACAAAAAGCAATAAAAGCAAAAAAGAGGCCTGGAAGATTTTTCTTCAATTTCATGCAACTAGTGATGCCTTGTGTTCAAGATTTCATTGGTATGGAATGACAATCGACAATGGCAATTGGGTACAAAGCATTATACATGTGAATACCATTTGGACTTCATGGGATGCACATAATACATTTTATTATTGAAGGTTGGAGAATGTGGCAAGTGTCAACGGAAAGGAAAGCCGTTGGCAACTGTTTTGCCCCTTGAAAACATAAAGGTAAATTATTGCTTAACTTTTTACAGCCAATGGGAGATGGGTGTCAGCTGTCTGGGAATTAGTGGGCATAGACCTTACAGGCCCATTGCCCACAACACGAGATGGGTTCTTGTATATCCTGACGGCCACTGATTATTTTTCGAAATGGGTTGAAGCCTAGCCTTTGAGGACCAAGTCTGCATTAGAGGCTGCACAACGGCTGTGCTCCATCACATACCGACACGGCTGTCCAAAGCGCAGCCGTGACAGTAGCTCAGTTGGTAGAGCATTGGCCTTTGAGCCAGAGGGTTGTGGGTTTGAGCCCAACTTTCACCTTCGACTCCGATTGTCTGCTGTCGTTGTGTCCTTGGCAAGACACTTAACCTCTGGGAACACCAGCCACAGTGGGGCGGCTGCGGCTGTAAAGTGTCAAACTGCTGTTGTGTCCTTAGGCAAGACACTTTACCCCCATTGTCTAGAATGAGTCTGGTGTGTGTGTGAATGGTTGGTGGTGGTCAGAGGGGCCGATGGCACATACTGGTTGCCTCGCTTCTGTCAGTGTGCCCCAGGGCAGCTGTGGCTACAGTAGTAGTTTATCACCACTGTGTATGGAGTGAAAGAATAATGACATGTAAAGCGTCTGAGTGTCCAACAAGCGCTATATAAAACTGATGCATTATTATTATTGTTTATTATTCTGTCCGATCAGGGACGAGAATTTGTAAATGAGGTATGTAGCTTTGTAAATACATGTATACATTATCAAAATCAACATTATTTCAGTCATTTTTGTTGTATGTACAGCTCAACAATGAACTCTGCACCCTCCTACATATCAAGCCCCCAAACAAATGGTCTAGACAAGAAGACCAATCATAACATAAAGCAGTAAGTTCAATACCCTCACTATCAAAAATTTGACAATACATTAATGTTTAAATAAAGAAAACATTTGCATACATTTAATGTAATGTACAGCCATGATCCTCAGATTAGATAATATAGACTTTATTGATCTCACGATGGAGAAATATACACCAGTAAGATTACCTTATGTCTCATGCTTACTGCACATGTACATTTCTATTTTTCACTGTTGCCCCTTCTCCATGATGCTTATACAGTACGTTTGTCTTTTCAGGGCACTCACAACGCTTGTAAATGTTAGACAAAACAATTGGGACACGTACTTGGAGTACGTGTATTGTTCGCGTTATGATCAATAATCCATACATCCACTAAGCAGACGCCTGCTGTATGGAAGGGAGGCCGTTTTTCTACTACCTGTGCATGTGCATGAGCTTAGAAATAATATCAAACAAATTTGCATAGAAAGTTGGTGTACAAGGAATGACAAAGCATTTTGTTGATGACCACTATTGGTTGTGTTTGTGTAATAGAATTGTGTTTCAATTTGGAGAAAGAGCAAGAGAGAAACAATTTTTTTGAAGAAACTGTCCAAATGTTAAACCACCAATTTAAAGTTAAAGACCAGAAATCTGCATTTTGACAGTTCCTATGGTTACCTCAGTTTACCCCACCTCATTGATGAACTCTTGGTTGTTTTCACGTGACATCATAACGTAAAAAAAAGTCTTAGTATTTTGCTAATTTATCAGTAATTCCTGGGCCAAAATCCACATGAAACAAAAACTCACAAAGTTCAGTCTCTCTCTGTCAGCACAAAATGAATAAGGTCTAATTGTTAATTCATAAATGTGTCCAAATTTCCTCCAACAACAGTTCTCCCACAGACTTGTTCTTGGACTTGCCCTCCAACGGAAATAGAATTGTAGAATGTGAAAACAACCAATACGATTTTTAGAATGTTATAATGTCATGTGAATGCCATTAATACTATTTGAAATAACTTGTACTTTTTGTCAGCTGTCCATAACACTCCCAGATGAAGGAACATACAATATGTGTATAGAAGACCGAGAAGAGGAAATGGAGACGACACACTCTAAAGCAGAAAAAAATGGCACATAAAAAACAGAGGCAAAAAAAAACTTTAAAGAAATATAGAGCAGTGTCTTACAGCATCGGACAGGAGGTGCTTCTGGTCAACATGAGGAAGAAGGGAAGAAAGGGGGGGTCAGTATTTTATATTGCAGTTTCGTAAAAAAAGAATAATAACCTTATGCTCAAGTTTACATACCCTGGTGGGTTTTTTGTGGGTAGCTTTTTTCAGTTGATTTGAAAAGGGTAAACGCATTGTTTGACATTAAATGTCTGGGTTTCTACACTTATGAGCACAATTATTAATTAACCATTTAATTATACATAGTATAACTAGTAGAGAACTAGTATAGTTTATCATTAAGTAATTTTCTTCTTACATGGCAGATTGAGCCAGACTTCAGTGGGCCGTATACCATTGAGGCAATTAATGGCAAACTTGCCTCACTGGCCAATTTCAAAGGTGCAATTTTAAGCACAAAATACAGCTTAGATCACCTCAAGCCTTGTAAACAAAGAAGGCCAAAATCAGACACCTGTACCAAAATTGTAGAGACAGTGCTTATTCATACATGTCTTTTATTCAAATGGGAACAAAGTACTAACCTTGAATAAGAGGCATCTCCGAATATCTTATTGTAAAACTAAAAATATACAATAATAATTTGCATTTGAATGTTTATTTTAGCCCACAGAATGAGGTGGCACCAGAAACGAGGCCTGTCAGGCCTTCGGTTATTGTTCACGCGCCTCCATGCCAGGTAATGGTGAAAGCATGATGATACTTTTTGTGTCTATTATCATTTGTTTAGCCATTTTATCATTTCTGTAGCTTTTTTATTTTGACTTTATGCACACTAACTTAATTGTTACTACACACATTTTCAATGCATGTGTAAAAATATCCTGCAGCATCCACAAGATGCAGGCATTGAAATGTTGTAGCAAGGTTCTGACCTGTTGGGTCACATGCAGCCAACCCAAGTTCGTGTCCAGGGTTTGGCCATTTCTCATGGGTTGGCCTACGTTTGTTCTATCTGCAATCATAAATGTTGGTGATAAGAGGGTTTTCTACACTGATCTACCATTCTTGAGTTTTTACACAAGCCTATTTTTAAAAGAAGATTCAATATTTTCACATTTTAATTATGAAATAGTCACAGACACTTCCTAAAGCGCCGTAAAGATGGCGCCGTGGCAAGAGCTCTGGTGTGTGTCGTCTTCTCTGTCTGGTGCACACCGGGGTAGTCTTGCACAGTTTTTCCAATGTGGTTTTACTGCAAATGGCAAATAAATGAATCTGAATCTAAATTACTATTAGCTCTAGCAATTATTTTAGCCCTCCTTTTTAAAATTGGCTCTTTTCAATCAAGAACCACATGTTTTGTTGCAAAAATCCATTTTGTGGATTATTTATTCAAGTTCAATTCTGATTGTGCTTTGTGTTCTCTGTGGGCTTCAAAAGATAAGGGCCATGTGCAAGCAGTTGTTGGCCCTTATAAGCTTTATGACACATCCTTTCGGACCCTTGACTGTCAGATGAAGTAAGAAGATTCTCATATAACCCACATTGTTTTAAACTTGTTACATTCTCTTTGCGGCATTCTAGGTTATAGATGCTTATTACACGGCTCCTCACAGCAGCAGAACTATCCATGGACTTGAATGTAAGTTCAAAACGTTCTACCCAGTGGGGGCGGGTCCCGGCTCAAAAGTGACCAAAATGACGTGCGCTGACATTCTTGCAATATCACCCCGGGCCGATGGTGGTGGACCCAGAAGAAGAATTAGCCAATGCTAACATATAGCATTGGCAGACCTCTCGAAAACGTCTTTACAGGATGGTCCAAAAGCTGGCTCTTGGCCCAAAGCTCCGTTCCACATGTGTGTCAATTCTGAGGGGGGTGAATTTTTTTGGTCCACTCTAGTTTACTTGCTGTGACTTTTTCACAATTTTCTTGTGGGCAGGACCACTCGCGGCCATTTTGGATAGCTCCAGTAGAGCAAATTTTTTGGCCCATTTGTTAGAACGGCGGAGATAGGCGTGACTCTGTCCGTTAATATATACAGTCTATGGTTCTACAGGTCATTATTTCTTGATAACGGACCTCTCAAAACAATAATGACCCTCTGCTTGTAATTCAGATGTATAGATAACTCTGCAGGTAGTTCCGGCCACTTCGTCGCTAGCCATGCTCAATAAACGCAAATATCAATCAACACATTTAAATGTTAATGGACGAATACATTATACATATACATTCTAAATACACATGCACAGAGGTTTAGGGTTAGGGTTAGGGTTAGATCTGTTAAGGTTTTCATGACAAAAATACTGTTTTAATGCGAGAAAAAGCTATCGCAAAAAACCCAGAAGTACATTCCAGGACACATTTGCAGAGGATTGAATTATGGATTTAGGTTAGGTTCTAAAGCATTCCTAAGAGTGGACTGAAGTTTATTTTGTGTGTTCTGTTGGTACAAAGCCGTATAATAAGCGAGATAATGTATTTTACGAAGGTCATTATCGGAAAATAAGTACCTTCAGGGCCAGAGGCGTCCCGTGCCAACAGGCAAGGCAGGCAGCTGCCTGGGGCCCCCAAACCGGCAGGGGCCCCCGAGGGCCGACTGATTTGACACAAGCGGTCGACTTGTACAGGCCACAACAGGTACCTGCAGTGACGAGTTGCAATTTGACCGCCCGTCTCAAATCCCCTGATAGGGCCCCGCTCCTCTCGCCCCTCCCCCCATGTGTGTCAGTGACAGAGGTGAGGTGAGCGGAGCGTGCAGGCAGCGTGCCATTTCTCCCAAAGCAAAACAAAGTTCTCCGACCAAATGAAGAGAAGTTATCCTTCTGGAAGCAATAAACGAAAGCGCAAAAAAGAGGAAGACAAGAAAAGAAAGCATGATAGCGGTGAGTGACTGTCTAATGACTGTCTTATCTTTAAGCTCAGTCTGCCGCTACACACACTACTACAGCCCCAAGTACTGCCACGCCAAGGTTTACTGCCCCCTCAAGCTTTACAGCCCTGGACAGCAGCGCTTTCTCCAGTGAGCAGCAGTCAGCTATATCCAATACTGCAATTGTCAACATTTCGTCGCCTACCTCCATTGACCAAGAGGACCAAACAGAACCACAAGCACCCACTCCAGGTATGATATTAGTGCAATAATATATTTAGTTTGAAAAAATGCTTGAATTTTACACACTATGGCCTTTTGTAGTATCTACCATATCTATAATTTCAAGCAAATATAAGAGGTATACTTGAAAATAAATTAATATCTAAGTTGGTTTGTATTTTGAAGATGTGTAAATTAAAAATACATAAATAGTAATGTAAATATGGACATACTTAGCAAGCCATCTTTAGCAACAATTGTAATTGTAAAGGCTGTAAAAAGAGACTAAACATAGTGTTTGTTCAAGTAATGATATCACATCAGGATTATTTATGGTTATTGTGTTTTTCTTTTGAGAATTCATGTGTTTTTTAAATTTGTTTCAGCTCAAACGGTATCCACAGACCAAGAAAAAGCAACACCAATAAGATTGACATCTTCTGATCCTGGACAGTGGCCTGATGTTCTTAATGATGGTGAAAAGAGTTCCCTGGTGAAAAAAGGTCCTCTTCAGGTGACGGATATTGTTTTTCCTCAAAGCAATGAACAAAATCCTCGGAGATTCACAAAGGAAAATTATTACATGGTCATGAGAAATGGTGAAAAAATAAAGCGAACATGGCTAGTATATTCAAAATCGACCGATTCAGTCTTTTGCTTTGCTTGCAAAATATTTGGCAAAAAGGACAATAATGCTCTAACTAAAGGAGGGCTTAAAAACTGGAAAAACCTTGTTGCACATTTAAAAGAGCATGAATATTCCAAACCCCATATAAATAAGATGAAAAGTTGGCATGAGCTCCAGATAACGTTAAAAACAAAATCTGCTCTAGATCAAGTTCTACAAAGAAGTATTGTCACAGAGTTGAGAACCTATAAGCAAAGCTTATAGGTTCTCAACCTATAAGCTTTATTGTTTAGTTGTTAATTATGTTTTCATAATATTGTTGTTCTGCTGATCTTTGTTGTTGTTAGTATTTTGTCAATTCTGTTTCAACTTTATGATGCAAATAAATAATATATTTATATCTACTGCAGTATTAACCTTTTTATGTGGTTATATGGTCGGTATCGGGGCCCCCAAAGACTCTTTTGCCTGGGGCCCCGGGGTATCCTTGGAACGCCACTGTTCAGGGCGGAAGCAGACCCCGACGCGCGCCCTGAGGGTACTTATTTTCCGATTATGACCTGCGTAATATACATTATCCCTTACATATTTTAATGTGCTTGTGATGAAAGAGAAGGCAAGTTTGTTATACATAGAACATTTATCAGCTATCGCTAAACATTATTTTCTAATGGCAAGTAATAAGCTTTTTTTAACAGAACACTCCTGTGCATAATCTCAATGCTGTTGTGGCAAAGACATTGTTCAAATATGGTAGATTTGAGACTCTAAGAAACTACTGTCATGCAGTCATCATAAGGCTCCTAAATATGATCACATTTATGTTCCCGATGAAATTCCCCACAGAGGATACATGGCTGTGTCCCCTAAATGTCGGCGCTCACTGGATTCTGCTGGTATGTTCTCGACTTCCAAAGTGCTCTATATGGATTCATATAAAATTCCTCTTACATTCTCAGGTCATTCACATGACAGACAGAAAACTATAGTGCTGATCGACCCGCTGTCAAATGAGGGAACATATCAGCGTAAAATTCTCAGAAACTGGAGGTTCTTAATCTGATTAATCCGTCTCAGAACTTTAATATAAATGACTTATGTTTGATCTAGGAACTTCTTGAGGAGAGACAAATGGACAATGAAAAGTGATCAATTGCAACATTAGAGCACAAAAGACAGCAAGACCCTTGCAGCTGTTTCATGGTGAGAAGGAGGACTCAAAATGCAGGAATGCCAAAATCATAATTTAACAAAATTCAAAAACGGAACCAGGAACGAAGACAATACAGGACAGATATCGACAAGACAAAGGACCAGCAACAAGGGGAGAGGAGCACAGGGTACATATAGACACAGACACAGGTGAATCACATCAGGGCGGGGCAGACAATCAACACAGGAAGTAAACTAAAACCAAACAAACTGAGGACCGACACCAAAATAAAACAAAAGTACAGGATAACAAAATCCACACCGTGACAGATGTGGGGTGAATATCTATTTAGACCATTTGGCACACATAACAAAAAATATAGAATTTTCTTTTTCTTTTTCAGTTTGCAGAAGCCTATCTCCTAAAGAGTCTTGAGCCACATCAAAACCTCTCCAAATGAAATGGAAAAGGCTTGTTTTGCTGTGGCTTGCACGCTTCTACAAATTCTTCAGATTAATAAATTGTAAAACTGCTTTGAATTCTGGTGTGATTGTATTCCAACCAATGCCCAAGGAATTTGTAAGAACTCCTGAACAACTCATCAACTAATCTAACTTAATTTTAAACAAAATACATGTGTAAGATATATTTTCAAATTTTAAAATGAACAAGATGAGGTGAATGTTGTGGTAAAAATAAAATCAGCTAGACAGTGATGGTTATCGCTTTTTACATATGTCTTGCTGATTTTATTATCATTGGTCATTTTCAATCTGTTATATTGCAGGGAACATGGACTACTGTATAGTATGGGATTCGCTGATTGATATTGTCCTTAGTGGGTTTAAAAAGTTGAAATATGACAATAAATATGCAATATAATCTCAGAACAGTGCTCATTGTGTTGAAATTCAGTGATTTTGCGTTCTGTACAGGTGCAGTGTTCTACATGCAATTCACCATTATTATTCTGTTTGTGCAGTAAGATAAAAAAAAAAAATAACAGTAATATTTACACATACATACTATTATTACACTATGCTACTCGCTGTGCGTTTAACAGCTCAAAATATTGGTTCATTAAGTGGTGATGGCGTGTTCTGTTTCAGCGGGTGGGGATGCAAATTTTGACAAGGGGTGCATTCCTTGTATTTAGTAGATTCAACAAAATAACCTCCATTTTATAACCTTTATAATGGTTTCGGGAGGGGTGATGCATGTTTCGTCAAGGGGTGCACGGCTCGATAGGCGGAGCTATTATTTTTCGCAAGGGATGCAAATCTTGACAAGGGGTGCACGGCTCGACAGAACACCGGCACCAGCCCCATTTATTTAACGAGTGCCTTCTGAAATCCACAGCGGCTAAACTAGATCAGCATTGACACGCATCTGGAACGTAGCTTTGGGCCAAGAGACGACTTTTGTACCATCCTGTAAAGCAGTTTTTGAGAGGTAAGAAGATGCTATACATTAGCATTGGCTAATTCTGCCCGATTAATTACACTAATTAAAAAAAAACAACATCTCTAACTCTAGCATCAAAGAAGTATAAAATCTCTATCTTGAACATAATAATAATAATAAAGAAGTATACAAATTTTACATTTGGTAGAATAATAATAATAAAATATGTTTACATCCGTACATGTTAGCACCAGATGTGTACATGTTAGCAGCAGTATGTTTACATTTGTACATGTTAGCAGCAGTATGTTTACATACTGCTGCTAACATTTACATTTACATTTTTAAAACCAGTTTAAAGACAGTTCTGTTTAGTTGTGTATACAAATGAGGGATTTTTAATGTTCTGTGATTATTTATTATTATAATGCTTTCTTATTTTGTTCAGCACTTTGAATTGCCTTGTGTATGAATTGTGCTATACAAATAAACTTGCCTTGCCTTGCCATTTGTACATTAGCAGCATGAGGCTCTGGGACACAGTGATTCAGTAAAGTGACACATGTGGTAATATGTCTGATCCTGATAGTCGTTAAGGATATTGCACCGACGCATGACATTTGAGATCAGGTTGGCAGTGTTCATTAGTCCTCATTGTTTGTTGTACAGTCTGACAGAAGCAGAAAGGAAAGACCAGTACACTGTCATGTATGAGGCTGTTATTGCCTATGACAACTTCACATGCACAAATCAGTCTTTTGGTGAGATTAGTTGTAAAATCACAAAGACAAATCAGACCAAAACATACTGTCTTATTAGAAACTTAATTTGTTGTTCATACTGTGAGGAATGGTCCTCTCTTTTTCTCTGTCACATCTTTAAATCAGCTTTTCCAGAGGCAAACAAAATGTGAAAACTACATTAGAACAACATTTCTCAGGGTGAGGATCTCTTTTCAGGTCATTTGTTACTTACTTTTTGATGTTTTCAAAGTTAGGAACCCCAGCTTTAATAGGATAAGCGTGACAGTAAAATTGTGTTGTTTGAGTAAGACAGGCGCAGACAGGCCGTGTGAGAGCTCGATGGTGGCGGCGAAGCATCAGCAGGTGCCATCACTTCACGTTCTCACCGCCAACGCTGCGCACGAGGACATCAGCACATGAGGGGGATGAGGAGGATGGAGGTGAGAGGAGGAAGGGGAGAGAAAAGGGAGGGTAGGGGGAAGGAGAGGGAGAGAACGCCTTCCGCTCTTGTGAAGCGGAAAGGTACACCAGAGGGAGAGAGTGAGAAATAAGTTGTATAATATCAACAGGGTTCTAAAGGATTTTATCGTATTAAAGAAGCTATACCCAATTTGTTTTCTATTGAGTTAATAAAGTTGTTTTAACAACTGTAATTTAATTGAAAACTGGAGCACATTGATTCAGCATAAGCATGAGTTTAGGCCATTCAAAGTGCTGAGATTACTTTTAGCGGGCCGCTGGCTCTCCTCCACTCATAGAACAAGGCGGCGTCCTCTAGCCTCTACAGCACTGCTAAAAACAGTAGCATGTTAGCAGAATTGGCTATAACTCCTCTTGCTGTAACTGCATACACAGCAAAACAGCCCAAACGACACAATAGTGAGGAAGAGAAGCGGGAACTAAAGCGTAAAAATGATCAAAGAAGAAATCAAGCCCAGTTGAACATAGCTAGCTTACATGGTATCCTCCGGAGAGACTTACAGGATATGGGAGAGACCTGCGGGACCGCCTCAGACTATCTATGCTCGGACTACATTCGGACGCGGAACTAGCGGTAATCTTTCAATTATATAATTGGAAATGAGAAGCCTCCGAGCGAGTTGAGGTGCGGTGCTAAACATTCAAACCTTGCAGAAACGGGTATAGCTCCTTTAAGGGACTTTGTCACAAATTAATCTACCAGGGAGATGGTCCGTCCCCACTGCTGTTCTGCATAGGTCTGAACCATAGACTGTAATTATTAACGGAGGCAGTCACTCCTATTTTCAGTTGGAATTAATATGCCACCATTTTCACTGTCTGTGAGCAGTTTCAAAATGGCAGCGGAAGCTGGAAAATGTGTGCATGCGTGAGCCGGCACGAACCCCATCATTTAAGGAGTGGCATCCAAAGTCCACAGCGACTAAACTAGAGTGGTCCAAAAAAATACACTCTCCTCAGCATTGATACAGCTTTGGACCAAGAGCCGACTTTTGTACCATCCTGTAAAGCCGTCTACGAGAGGTAAGAAGATACTATACATTAGCTTTGGCTAATTCTTATTCCGAGTCCAAAGGAAGAGATTCAGACCACAGATACAATAGAGGCCCCAGATATACCACACCAGACAAGACCTAAGGTGTGGGTTGTGCGAAGAGCACCCGAGATGATCCAATACATATAAGATGCTATCATGCTAGCAGGGAAGGTCTACATGGAACGCCATAATCAAGTGGTTGATATAGTGTACAGGAACATCTGTATCTGTGCAGAGTGTGGGCTGCAAACCCCAAGGTCACGATGGGAAACTCCTCCAAAGGTGGTGGAGAATGAGGGCACAAAAATCCTGTAGGACTTCCAAATTCAGACCGACTGAATGATAATGGCGAACCAACCTGACATCATAATGGTGGACAAACGGCAGAGGAAAGCCGTGGTAATTCCCTAGTAAGGGTGACATCAGGGGAAAAGAGCAGAGAAATGAATGCCATGGGCTCAGAGAGGAGCTGGAGAGGGCCTGAAGCTAAAAGTGACAGTTGTGAGAGGAGCTGAAGAGGGTCTGAAGGTAAAGTTGAACATAGTGTCCGTGCTGATTAGTGCACTTGGAGTAGCCCCTTGATTTGTACCATTTTTTCTGCTCTAGTCCAGAGTGAAAGGCTGAATGCTTTATTAGAATGTTTCAAAACATTTGTTTTCCCCCAGTGGATTTTAAAATATAAAAATGTATTATTTTCCAGACTTTCAATTTACCCTATGTGGACCAAGGGGCGATGTGTTAAAATAAATAAATAATAATAATTCAACAATGTGTCAAACCCATAGACTGTATATATTAACGGACGTAGTCACGCCTATCTCTGCCGTTCAAAATTGGGCCAAAAATTGGGCTTTCATGGAGTGATTCAAAATGCCCACGGGGGCTGGAAAATGTGAAAAAACGCATCTGCGCATGTGTCAGCCGGCATGAGCTCCATTCATTTAAACGAGTAACTTCAAAATTCACAGCGAGTAAACTAGACTGGTCCAAAAAAAATCACTCCCCTCTGCATTGACACACATGTGGAACGGAGCTTTGGGCCAAGAGCCAACTTTTGGACCATCCTGAGAGGTAAGCGGACGCTAAATGTTAGCATTGGCTAATTCTTATTCCGGGTCCACCCCCATCGGCTCTGGGTGGTATTGCAGCATGTCAGCGCACGTCATTTTGGCCACTTTTGAGCTGGGACCCGCCCCCACTGGTCAAACCCCAAGTTCTCAGCTCAACCTTCATTAAAACACATCTATATCCATAGAAAATGATGGGAACTAAGGTTTTTACTTTTCCACTCAATCAGGAATTCTTCCTTTAACCTCCTTTCAAGGCAACATAGTCGAAAATCTGTAAATAAACCTCAGTAACATTTACTGGAAAATCAGATTTAGAGACTTGGACTAAAGCCCACAGCTCCAGACCACATGTGAAAATCACTTTTAACTTATTTAGCTATTGAGGTATTTTTCCTTTGTGAGTTTGGAGTTGATGGTCAGGGCCAAAATTGACACAATTAATGCTAGGGATGCACCAATACTGGTATACATGAGCGACAGTAGCTCAGTTGGTAGAGCATTGGCCTTTGAGCCAGGGGGTCCTGGGTTCGAGCCCGACCTTCACCATCGACTCCTATTGTCTGCTGTCGTTGTGTACTTGGCAAGACACTTAACCTCTGGGAACGCCAGCCACAGTGGGGCGGCTGCGGCTGTTAAGTGCCAAACTTTGCCTAGAGTGAGTCTGGTGTGTGTGTGAATGGTTGGTGGTGGTCAAAGGGGCCAATGGCACATACTGGTTGCCTCGCTTCTGTCAGTGTGCCCCAGGGCAGCTGTGGCTACAGTAGTAGTTTATCACCACCGTGTGAGGAGTGAAAGAATAATGATATTAGGGCTGGGCGATATGGCAAAAAAAAAAAATCTCCGATTTTTTCACACCAAATCCGATTTTCGATTTTAATCGATTTATTTTTTTCTATTTAAAAACAAACTACAACTGACAAAGAAATAGATTTTCCTTTATGCAGTTCGATCTAAATCCCCATGGAGCATAAGTGTAACAGGAATTAAGCCTTAAAACATGCTTGTAAACGAGATGGCTCTGCCATTGTAAACAGTGAAAATGTAGCTTAACAGTTTTATAATAACTTCACTTACAATGACACTATGCACCTTCAAAATAACTTAAATCACACAAACAAGGCCCATCGCAAATATATTGCATTATTTCATGCTTGTTCTTTCAACTGTGCCTGAGTAACTGTGCTGTAGTACAACGCTCGGTCCAGCTGGTGGCGCTAATACTAACTTCAGTGACTCCCGCATTGTGCGAGCTTCCTGTTTACATTCTGATGCTGTAGCTAACAGCTACTGTAGCAGCTACTGTAGCAGCTACTGTAGCTAACAGCTACTGTAGCAGCTACTGTAGCTAGCAGCTACTGTAGCTAACAGACAGCGGGGAACACGTTGTTTGTATCAGAGCAATGAGAGCAATGTGTGAGACGTGTCTTTCCCCAAAGTGCAGCGGCTCAGTGGGACACGAGTGTGTGCGCGCCACGGACACGGGAGTGCGCTTTGGAATAACGAGCGTGAGAGAGCGTGAAAGATGTGGCGTACGACCGGAGCCTGTGTGTGTGTGTTTTTGGCGATTAAATAAAGTCTGATTCTTGAACGTTTGAAGTGTTATTGCAACAGCACCAACTGTGAGAGCGAGCATCAGGCCAGAGGGAGACTGTTAGCATTAGGTTAGCTTCAAAATGACTGCTCAACACCATAGACCCGCGGTTAGCGCGTTAGCGCTGTAGTTCTGCGATGGAGAAAATAAAAATCGACTTTTTAAAAAAAGAAATCGCCCTAAATGTAAAACTCGAATTAATGATTAAAATCGATTAATCGCCCAGCCCTAAATGATATGTAAAGTGTCTTTGGGTGTCCAGAAAAGCGCTATATAATTATTAAGAGTTCCGAGCTTCCGGCTCGACCGCACGGCATTGTGGGTAGCTTTCTCAAAAAGGTGGGCATCAAATCACGCTGCCATATTGGATTACATGTCGTGAGCGTGAACTTTCTCGCTTGTTTCCAGCCCTTAGATTGTTTTAATAGCTAAAAAATTCACCAATTTGAGACATTTTGAAGGTAAGGTAAATACTTTTTCATTTAACAAAAAAGCAATGCATTTTTTTCTTGTGGTTTTAGATGTAAACACAACCGACTGACTATAGAGCTACTTGTAGCTCATGCAACTTACGAGGATCGATTTCTTACACGCGAGCTTTATAAAGTTGCCCAAAGCTGTACTTTGGACATATTTGTCTGGTGTGGAGCTTCTGAATGTAGAGAAGGCCAAATACCTGGGGCACGTCATCAGGAGTGACCTCAGTGAAGACGATGACATCCAGAGGCAGTACTGTAAGCTGTATGGACAGGCTAACACTTAAGCATGGAGATTTCACAAATAAAGTGAAAATAACTTTGTTTAAAGCCTACTGCTCACCTCTCTATACTGCCAGCTCACTGTTTGTTCTTAATATTGTTCCCACTCTGAATGCTCTGATCAGAAATGTTATTTAGCCTCGTATGTAGCTCTATAGTCAGTCGGTTGTGTTTACATCTAAAACCACTAGAAAAAAATGCTTTGCTTTTTTGTTAAATTCAAAAATCTTTACCTTACCTTCAAAATGTCTGAAATCGGTGAATGTTTTAGCTATTAAAACAATCTATGGGCTGGAAACAGGAGAGAGAGATCACGTTCGCAACAAGTAATCCAATATGGCAGCGTGATTTGATGCCCACCTTTTTGAGAAAACTACCCACAATGCTGTGCGGTCCAGCCGGAAGCTCGGAACTCTTAATGCATGTATTGAGTGTCGGGTTGATACCATAGGCTTGTGCACATACTCAAACTCATACCATAGGACCCGATTCTGGCAACCGATACCCACATTTTTAACTCACATTAGCGTCCCGAATGCAGACAGCTGTGCGGCAAATGTTGCCATGGTGATCTCCCCAAGTATGCAGCGAGAAAGCAAGCTGGCTAGTGGCAAGGGGGAAGCTGGCTAGCGAGAAGCGGCGAGCAAGCTAGCAGCAAGCAGGCTAGCGACAGGCAGACAAGTTGTTGGCCGTATGGCAGGTTTTTTTAAATAAACAAGAGTGACAAGAGTAAAGCAGACTGTACTTTGTGTGAGGCAAAACTGTCACGTGGTGGGTCTAAAACAAACATGTATAACACCGGCAACTTGACAAAACTCACCACCACGCAGAGTAACCTTTGCTAGCACCCGAGGTATTTCTATGTACCATTTGTTTAAGTGGAATATGACAATGGCTCTTATTGTTGACTGTTAAAACATTTGCTAAAATGTTTGATTATTAAAGCATTTTCTTATTGTTGAAATGAGAAATAAAACATTTTAAATTTCAGTAATATTAGTTTTATGAATTCCCAGGGATAAAACAATGCAGTACTTGTATCAGTACTTGGTATCTTCAAGTACTCAAATTTAGGTACTCGTATCAGTTTTGAAAAAAGTGGTATTGTGCATCCCTAATTTTTTTTTTCAAACATGGACGGTAAAGCCTGAAAAGTTGCTAAATCTCCGGAGGGTTCAGGAACAGGAAGTATGTTGTCCTATTTCAGATGTACCAACAATATGGAAATAGTACTCAAAGACACTAATCCGTCCAAGATAATACGGTATTCATGTCATACAAACACGCTACATAGAAATCCCTCCATCTCCAACTTCCAACCGCACAAAAAAGAGGCACAGCCGTGTCACGCGTAAGCCCGCTTTTGTGCGCCTCCAAAGACAAGGTGCGCGTCAGCCATTCAGCACACTTTTGTATTTCCTTTTCTGGTTTGCATGTCGCTTTCTGTAAGGTAAATACCGCAGATCCTTCCACAACAGCTCATAAATTGGCGTGTCGGGCTGCGCGTCAAAGATTACACACGCATTGTTCCTGGGAGGGGGGTGATTTACGAGGAGTAGCGCGCGCCGGCGGGGGTCTCAGCTGTTGTTGGCGAGGGGGGTTGGAGGGCTTGTCGGACGTGTCGTGAGCGGAGACTGATCTGACGGCGTGGTGAGCGTGCCCGGTGCGATTCACACCTGTGTCGTTAATCACAGCGTGCAAGGCTTTGTCTGCGGCTGAGTGTGCAAAGACAGGAGTCGGTGCACGGCGGTGTGAAGAGGGCCACACGAAGTAGGCCCTGTTTACATGGAAACGACAATCAGAAAACATATCATTTTCACCTTGTTTGCTCTGAGTTTGTGATGTAAACAACTCCCACTGATGACTGCTGTCGTTGTGTCCTTGGGCAAGACACTTAACCCCGCTTTGCCTAAAGACCCCCTGAAAGATCTCAGCTCCTGTGGACTCTCCACATGCAGGAGGATCAGTGAGGATCAGTGGGGGGCAGGTGCTATGTGTACTGGGTGCAGCTCTGACTGTCACCCCCCTGACCCAGAAATGCATTAAGGGGAAGAAAATGGATGGATGGATGGACAATCACAGGAAATAAAGATCTCCACATACTACAAGGCAAGTATGTCTGCTACAAGGCAAGGCACTGGAGAGAAATATGAGAAAAAGAAGGCTTTTCAATGTGGATTCTTTACCAAAAATATTATTTACAGGAGACAGGCCTCCTTGATGACAATGTTTAAAACCAGGTTAAAGACAGTTCTGTTTAGCTGTGCATACAACTGAGGGATTTTATATTTTGATCTTTCTTTTTAATAATTATGATTTTAATGCTTTCTTATTTCGTTCAGCACTTTGAATTGCCTTGTGTATGAATTGTGCTATATACTGTAAATAAACTTGCCTTGCCTTTATCAAACAGGATCCATGACAAGAAAAGGGCCGCATTCTGATTGAGAGCGTAAGCCTCAGGTTTCGCCTCGGGTTTCCAATCTCTGTACTAAAGAGAATCCCAACCCCAATGCAAACCATTAACAAAAAAATTCATAGAACAAGCAATTTCTTTTGGAGATGTTTTGCAAAATGCCAAAAATACATGTTTTATCTTTTTTGGATTGGAGAAATTCAGGATGAACAGTTTGGGTTCAAGCCAAAATGTCCACAAATGAACTTGGATAAATTAACCAAGGTCTACTGAGGGGATACTGAGAAGATTGGAAACACTTGATTTACATTATAATTGTATATATACGATAGATTTATTAAGTAAGTAATGTTCATTTATGTAGTGCATTTTACAGACCAAGGTCACCCAAAGCGCTTTACACCGTTCCGAGATCAGATATTGTTCCAATCACTTCTCACACGGTGAGTTGCCGAACACACTGCCCCCAACCAACACCATCCATTCATTTATATTCATACCCATTGTGCATGTTTTTAGTGGTAGGAGAAACCGGAGCTCCCGGAAGAAACCATACGCAGACACAAGGAAAACATTCAAACTCCACTCAGAAAGGCCCTGCTCTGACCAGGATTTAAACCCAGGACATTCTTGCTGAGAAGCATGTGTGCTATCCACTCAGCCACCGTGCCGTAGACATACACTCTTCAGCACATACTAAGACAAAATATTGATAAAGACACACACGTTTTTATAGGCCATAACAAAGTCGATCGTGCATTAAGCACTGGTCCTGATGTCCACGGCTTCCCACAACAGTGGAATAATGTTTGGAACATTATCATTTCATCCTTTAGCCCTATTTGCATGGGATTAGTATTACCTGTGGACCCCAATTTGTGATAATCACTGAGGACGTCTCAGATCTGCAATGCATTCACACGGGATAAGCAATGTCTGTAAATTACTAAATAATATTAAGTATTATCAGAGGACGTCTGTTTTTGGACAAATACAGGAGGTCATTTGCGGCAGAATGATTTTTTTACAAATTACAGACATGGCGCATTTGCACGGGACTAAGATCTCAGATGTCCTCCGTGATTATCAAAAATAACCAGGGGTCCATAGGTAATACTAATCGCGTCCGAATAGGGCTTTTGACAACTGGTAACTTAGAAGCATTGAACTAAATTAATGAAATAAAAACTGCTGACCCATCACTGACGTTCTGTCTGAGGATCAAAATTCACCTCATTAAACTCACATCTCAATCAATCAATCAACATTTATCTGTAGAGCGCCTTTCCTACACAAGGCAACACAAAGCACCTCACAACCCACATCATATCCAGCAAATCATAAATATTAAAATCTACATATACATAAAAAACACAAGAAATATTCAAAACAGAATAAAATCACAAGTAATTAAACACACACAGGATTAAAATAATAAATAGCCACACAATGCACTAAAAAGAGTAAGATAAAATTTAAGAATATATAAAATCCTTCAGCTAAACAGAACTGTTTTTAACCTGGATTTGAACACTGCAAGAGTAGATGCCAGCCTCACATCTTCAGGAAGATTGTTCCAGATTTTAGCTGCATAAATCTGGAACGCTGCCTCCCCATCTATTGAACAACTTATAGCAGCCCGATCCCAACAGGCCGGACATAGTGTTTGTAGAATGGAACTTACTTTTTGCGAAAGCCAGATCCCGTCAGACCTCTGGAGCTGTTCAGGGCAGGGCCTGGTCAGTGCTCTGATGGGGGACCTCTAGGAATATGGTCAAGTATGGCTGCAAACTGTGCAGTTGTTTAGCACAGTCCATATTCTCTACACATGTAAAGTAAAGCCAGTATTTTCCAGTCTTTTGTTCCTCCTTGAGAGAAGGTTACAGCACATCCAGGATTTACCATCCTTCACGTCACATACCGGCTGAATCAGCGGCAGCTAAAAGCACGTCGCCTTGGAGCAGCTGACCGGCGATGGCCCACTTTCACTCGCTCGCGCTCACAGACTCTTCACAACTTTGCTGCTACTGAGGCTACTGCAAACAAAGAACAGGAGCCACAAGATCTACTGACCATCAACAGATCCTCACAGCTTTGTAAAATAGACTTTTCCATGCATATAACTTTAAATCTTCCCTTGTCCTTCTCTTACCCAAAGATGTAATTTATTCATACAGGGTAAACCAAAGTGCCTCATAACCCAAAATGAATACAAAACAGCCAATAAAAACATAAACAAATAAATAGTCATTACAAATTAGTCACAACTAAATGAGACCGTTTTCTACCTGGCAAGGTAAGGCAAGTTTATTTGTATAGCACAATTCATACACAAGGAAACTCAAAGTGCTGAACAAGATAGCATTAAAATCATTAATAATCACAGAAAATTAAAAAGAAAGATAAAAATATAAAATCCCTCAGTTGTATGCACAGCTTAACAGAACTGTTTTTAACCTGGTTCTAAACATTGTCAGAGAGGAGGCCTGTCTCACATCTTCAGGAAGACTGTTCCAGATTGTGGCAGCATGAATCTGAAAAGCAGCCTCCCCATGTTTAGTTCTAACTCTGGACACTAACAGGAGTCCAGTCCCTGTGCTCTTCAGAGTCCGGGCTGGTTCATATGGTACTAACATGTCACTAATATATTTTGGTGCGAGGCCATGGAGAGACTTGTACACAAGCCGAGCTGTTTTAAAGTCTATTCTCTGAGCCACAGGAAGCCAGTGCAGAGACCTGAGGACCGGACTAATGTGGTCGTACTTCCTGGTTCTAGTCAACCTGGACTTAAATATTGCCTGATTTGTGTCTTAAAAGCTCAGGCAGACTTTTCCAGATTCTAGCTGCTCTGAACGGCTGTTTTCCCATGTTTTGGAAAATGTCTGTTTCACCTACCACCTCTCCCCGCTCATTTCTCTGCACTAATTATTCAATAAATTAACCTGGACGTCAAACCTTTTGGGGTCACTAATGTTACGTTGTCCATTTTATATAATCTATTTATCTTTTAGACTCATGTTATTATATTTTTAGTATTTATTATTATTATTACTATTATTAATATGTATTGTGTTTCCTTTTGTATTGTTTTTACTATCCCCAGTGTTTCCTCTGGAGGAGCCCTCTGCACTGGGAGCGGTGGTCGGCTGTGTCTGTGGGGGTCTGACTCTTGGACCTGGCGGAGGCCCGGAGCCTCGGCTTCATGTCTCCTCTGGGTCCTGGGGTCCGGCCCTTGGACCCGGTGGGGGCCTGGAGCATCGGTTTCATGTTTCCTGCTGCTCCTGGTGCAGACGGCTCCTTGGATGTCGCTTCTTCAGCTGGTTACATCTGAACCCTGCCTAGTCTCTCTCTTCATGGTTTTACTGTTTTACTGGCGTGTGTGTGAGCGTGTGTGCGTTTGTGTTTGTCTTTGCGTGCGTGGTTGTGTTGCGTTTTCTTTATGAAAAGCGCTTTATAAATAAAATTTGATTGATTGATTGATTTGTGCTGCTAAAGGAGCAAGACATATTAGCCCCATTCTTTTGGCCTTAGTTTGAAGATTATGGGGTTGTGTGAAGCTATTTAAAAATGTGTTTTGTATTGTCAAATGTCAAAAGAAGCTCCTCTTCTGACCCTGATTAGAAGTCTCTATCCCTCAGTTCTCATAAGTGTGTATTTCCTTGTTGTTTAGGTTCTTTACCCACTCTGATGGTAAACATTCTTCTTGACAAAAAAGCCACCAGTTCCAGTCAATTCCTGGGCTGCTTTGCATGAACTATACGTTTGAGATCTCCCAAGATCGACTCAATAATGTTATCACTTGAAAATAGAAAACATATTTATTTGACAATAAATAAATAAAAGCGTTTGTGTTATTGTTCCTAATCTACAAAAACTAACAAAAGTAATTCCTTACATTACCTAGTTACTTCCCCAAGACACTAACCAAGTTACATTACTTTTGGATTATTTTGTGTCATAAAAAAGAGGAAAGAATCAAGTTTGTATTTTTGCTTTGTTAAAGTAATTTAATAAAGCAAACACACAAACAAACATGCCCTTCAATGTTTTCTTTTTCTTTGAGGTTTGACCTGACAGCACCATTCAAGTCCAGGTTCTTACAGCGTGTCAGTGTTGTGTTGGCGGATGCAGTGGCTTCTCTCACACGCTCTTTAGTGACTAGCTTAATGATCAAGTGTTGACCATAGACTGTGGGTGTGTCCAAATTGCTGGCATCGTCCCACGTACGCATAATTTTTAGACATTGAAGAAAGGTACCTTCAGAGCCAGTGTTAGGTTAAAGCACCAGTGCTCCGGTGCTTTAACCTTACTTACTGAGCGCTCCTCTGATGCTAACAATCTTCATTGTGAAAGTAATTATGAAAACCCAAAGTGGAGGCTTTTGTAACAGACT